CAGGTCCGCGCACAGCACCATCAGCAAGGTACCCCCGCCAGATGCCCCCCCCCCCACGCTCTGTCCTTCCCCCCCCTTCCAAGAGATAACCCAGTGGCAGCCCAGGAAGCAAAGCAAGTGCAGGAAGTCCCCAAGTCCAGAAGCCGCCCCTTTGGTCAGACAGGACCAGCTGCTCCCACCTCACCTGCTGGCTTGGCGCCTGTTCCCCCCCCCCCCGTGGGAGGATCCAGCAGCCGTCCAGGATGCTTGTAGGCCATGTTCAAGGTGCTGTTGTTGACATGCGAAGCCCAAGATGGCTTGGGACCTCGCAGCTTGTCAGAGGAGAACTTCCCAACCTAGGATGCTACGGGTGGCCAACCCAAGGGAGGCCCAGAAATCCACGACTAGAAACCAGACCCCCTTGGTGGCTGCCACATTGTGGAACTCGCTTCCCGCGGAACTACGGCAGGCCCCGAACCTCCTTGGCTTCAAGAGAAAAGTAAAGACTTGGCTCTTTGCTCAGGCTCTTGTTCAATTGTTTTGTCTCATTTCTGTTGATCCGTGATTTTATTTAATTATCGTTTGATGTGTTGTCATCTTGTACCTTAGTATAGACTTTGCTATACAGTATATTCAAGTTGGACTTTTGTCTGTTTTCTTGTTTAACATCTCATTTATGCTATTATTGAATTTATGTTTTGCTGATGCTCTCGTTTTAAGCTGTCCAGAGTACTGGCCTGGCCACTCTGGAAGCATCTAAAATACAAACGATACCTTTACTTACAGTTTCTATCTGTAGTTATCATCATCAGAAGACAAAGAGGGACAGTGGAGTCCTCAGCATGCAGGAGACCCTGCATGCTTGCTGCTTGGAGGTTGGCCAGAGAGGGAAGAGGGGCTATCAACATAACATCGGGAGCAAAAACTTACAGGAAGAGGGGGGCCGGGCACTTGTCTCACATGCCTGAGGTGAGAAAAATAACGTTACTAATTAAGTTGGTGGCAAAGGACAATCATATGAGGCTATGAAGCCCCCACCCACCTGATACCCAGCGCTGATACTTGCAAGATGGCTATCAATAGTTTCTGGTTGCAGTTTTAAAAGAGAGAGAGAGAGAGAGAGACATGTGAGTCACAGTTCACAGTTCAAGTTTATTGTATTAGCTAAAAGCCGTCACAATTGTTTAAAATACCAATATGGTTAATTAACATCATGATAAAAACCACAGACATATAAAATAATAAGAGACCCCTCATATCTGAGAATCTCCCACACAATTGATCGCAATGGCTTTCAAAACATTAACCCGAATGTTTCTGGCCGCTTTTGCGAATAACGCTGTTGTATACGTAACATATGGGTCACAGTCCAAGAGTAACCTGACCGCCTTTATCTGAGGGGTTTCCTCTTGTAGAGCAGCCAAAATGTTACCCAGGAGCTTTTCTCGAGGGTTCTGATATAGCTGACAATAGAGTAAATAATGGAGAACATCCTCTGTTTCACCTGCTCCGCAGATGCACAGCCTTAGATGTTTAGGGACATTCATATACCTGCCATCTAAAACAGCGGTTGGCATGGTTTGGAAGCGGAGTTCTGTGAAAGCAGTTCTCAAGGATGCAAAAGTAAGTGCATCTAGGTATTGTGCCCTTGAGGGGTTTGTCTTCAACAAATGGTACCAATGGGAGAAACCTGAAGAGGGGATTAAGGCCTGGTCCTGGTCGTTATACGTTTTATAGAGCCAATCTCTCAACATTCTTTTAACCTCAGAAAAAATAAAAATGTCTGTAGAGAGGGATTTAGATTTTAGTAGGTTTTGAGCTGAAGTTGCCCAGCCACCACTCTTCCATTGCTCTATCATACAGCGTTTGGGTAGGCGGTGGTCGGGCATATCCATCACCCTCTTATAATACGAGAGTATAGCTAAAGTTGCCCTGGCTTTGATGGATACCATGTGAGTCTTTGCTATCATGTCAAAGCAAAACAAAAGTAAAGAAATTAAAAAGACAAAAACATTGTGGCACCTTAAAAACTAACTGCTATATTTTACTGTGAGCTTCATGGGCACTGCACCCAAGATGCATGTAGAGCATCTGGGCATGAAAAAAGATTTCCTGCATGACAAGATACAGAAGATCTCTGCATTCAAGGACTAACCAGATTTGAAATACCTGGAAAGGGGAGACCAGGATACAGGCTGCAGAACAAGCCGCAAGGGCCTAGAATAGCCAGTGAAACCTAGCCTTGATAAGAGAAGAGTCTGAACGTGAGCATGTTGACATACACCTTTACAACATCTCTTGAAACAACAGGTGGCAGGAGTACAAACCAAAGCAGATCTGCCAGGGTTGTCTAAGTTTCTCTTGAATGCCTCCAGCGCTGGAGCACTCACCAGCTCTCGAGGCCATGGGTTCTAGTGTTGTACTGCTCTAACACTTCGGATGTTTTTCCTGATGTTCAGCCGAAATCCTGCTTCCTGTAACTTGAGCCCATTATTACGTGTCCTGCACTCTGGGATGATCAAAAACAGATCCTGCCCCTCCTCTGGAGGACAGCCTTTCAAGTCTTTAAAGAGTGCTCTCCTCCTATCTCCCTTCAGTCTTCTTTTCTCCCGGCTAAACATGCCCAGGTCTTTCAGTCTTTCCTGCTCACAGGGCTTGGTTTCCAGTCCCCTGATCCTCCTGGTGGCCCTCCTCTGAAATTGCTCCAGTTGGCAGACTCCAACTTGCATAGATGATTCAATTTTGGCCTATAAAAACTCAGCTGACTGCAAATAATTTTGTACCTTGAATGCAACTCAAAAGCTTAACCGTTTTGCTTTTTTACCTTTTTGTTTTTCCTTTAAAGATGGTGACTTTTTAGCATCAACTCCTTATTTGGGGCTCTGTTCATTGCAGAGCATCCTGGTTAGTCTAGTGCAACAGCCACCCTGCTCATCCGAAGTCCCCCGTTGACTCCAGGGCATGCACACAGTGGGGAAAGAGTGGAATGTCCAGGGAAACGGGGGCAGAAGAATCTCAGACAAAACAGTACGCTGAGGCTGCGAGGGAGCCAGCCAGGGTTTTCCCCGACCATGTGGTAGAAAGGTTTGGCAATGGACAAAGCCCCAGCCATTCCGTCACACCGTCTGATAATGTCCATATGTAAGCGTCATCTGTTCAATTGCTTGAAGCATGTATTTGCAAGAACGTGGCTGGCTTCATCGAACCCTATGAGTCATTGTCCTGCTTCATTTCTATTCCCGAGGTCCAGTTCCCCAACAACATTTAGTTCTTTATTTCCTACTTTTGCATTCCTGTGACTATTGGCATGTTTTTGTCTGTGATTAATTTCCTCCGGGATGCTTGCACAAAAGCTTCCAATTTCATCTTCTTCACAGAGGGTTAGTCGGAAAATAGTTCAGCAGGGGTTCACTATGGCAACCTTCTGTGCAGCAGTAACAGAATTTAGCCATAATATCTCCCCTACTGACCACGAAAGAACCCGCCACCTCTGTCGCCTTCAGCCATCACTGTTACCCAGTAGCTGCCCTCTAGCAGTTTTTACGAATCGCACTGAGGGAGCGTCAGGCTCCACAGGTTGTGGCACCGGGCGGGGGGGGCAGATGTTGCCGCTTCAAGACCAGGAGTAGGAAGGAGAGGCAGGGGAGGAGGGGGGGCAGAGCTGTCAAACAGAAACCAGTCGCCAAAGATGGGCTCAGAAGGCATCGTTGGGGGGCTGGCTGCTGACATTCAATAGCATGATTCCTCACACAGTAACACTCTATGTGATTTTATCCTGTATTTATACTTTAAGCAAACTAAAACAACCTGTCTTACCACCAAGGCCGGCAAATCACTATCTAAGCCATCAGGTGGTGGTATAGCTTATTGGTACCCTATTGAAGTGCAGTTTGCTGATGGTGCCAGAAGAGCCACTGTGCTTTTTGTCTCCCCCCCCCCACACACACACACCTTTGTTTTAAATTGTTTTGAAAACATGTCCTCCGTGTTTCCCTTCCAAGGCTGTCGCTTTGCCCAGCACTTGATGGGCTGCCAGAAGAGGGCGGCCACCACAGGGACTACAGCACAGGCTGGTGCCTCCCCAGGGCAGCTCTGCCCTTTCCTGCCCCGTGGGACCCAGAGCCGGCACCCTGCTCTCCTTGCAAGGGCTGCGGGGCCCCGGGCTTCCGAGAGCTCCCCCCAAGCGCTTCTTCCGTATGGGGCTCTGCCCTCCTTTGGCCCAGGCAGGAAGGGCGGTGGCAGCACCCCCACCTTTGGGTGGCTCAGGGGGAGAGGATGGGGGAGGATCCCTGCCCTGCCCCAGTTCCAGGGCAAGGGTGGGCATCACCCTCATTAGCTTTAGTCCATTGCAGCTGTGGTGACCCCCCACACACACACATCCTTGTGCTTGGACCACATTCGGAGGCCCTCAACAACTGCCCAGCACTCTCCCCGGGGGGGGGGCAGCACTCTTGTGGAGAGTCTCTCACCCCAAAAAGGGCCAGCATCCCAATTACAGGTGGTGGGCAGGTGCGTAGATTCTCTCCCTACTCATACACCCTGCCACCCAAACCTGCCAGGAGTGCCTTCCAAGACCTGTGTTTGCCCTTTCCCTGGAGGGAGGCTGCTGAGAAGTCCGTGCTAAACAAAGTGTGCCCCCCCCCGAGAGAGAGAGAGGAGAGAGAGAGAGAGAGAGGTGGGTGGGTTTGTATGCGCAGAGAGAAAGAGAAACATGTGGGCTATGCCCTTCCCGGATCCTTTTTCTTCCTGGTCCAGGGCAGGCAGTTGGTGATAATTTATTATTTATGTATGTACTGCATTAGACTTCTACCCTGCCCATCTAGACCAAAGGTCTACTCTGTTTACAAATTTAAAAACAGGAAAACCAATAAACATATACTATAAATCCAAGATGGTAAAAATGTCAGAATTAGGATACGCCTGGAGGGAAAGCCTGCTCCTGAAAACACCCAGGCAGGGAGCCAGGCGGATCTCCATGGGCAAGTTGTTCCAGAGGCAAGGGGCCACTGCCGAGAAGGCCTGGTTCCTTGTTCTTTCCTTCTGGACCTCCCTCAGCGTTAGGCCCCTCAACTGCCCGGCCTGGCTAGAACGAGTGACTCTGGCAGAACTGGGTGGGAGGAGGCGCTCTGCCAGATATCGAGGTCCTAAACAGTTTAGGGCTTTATATGTCATCATTAGGACTTTGAAATCAACGCAGAAGCAGATGAGCAACCAATGTAGACTATGTCTAGATGGGCGGCATATAAATGCAATAAATAAATAAATAAATAAATAAATAAATAAATAAATAAATAAATAAATAAATAAATAAATAAATAAATGTAAGGCAGCCAGCGTGGGGGAAATGCAGTGAAACCTCTTCACCCCTGTAAGAAGTCTGGCTGCCATATTCTGCAACCATCTGGAGTTTCCGCGTCAGTCTCAATGTAGTCCCATATAAAGTCCATTGCAATAGCCTAATCTCGAGACTACGAGCTCATGGACCAAAATGGTCAGTGCCCCCACATCAAGATAGGGATGCATCTGGGCAATCTGCCGGAGGTGGAAGTGTGCGGAATGGACCACTGACACCACCTGGATTTCCATGGTGAGCGCCAGGTCCAGATGTACACCCAAACTGCGAACCTCACTCTCAGTGGTAAGAATTACCCCCCAAAAAGAGAGGGAGTTTCCCGAATCACTGATGTCTGGGCCACCCACCCTCAGGACCTCCGTCTTGTCCGGGTTCAGCCTCAGTCCTTTCTCCTGCATCCATTGCTAAACAGCCTCCAGGCAGCGCTCCAGGGATGAAACAGCATCCGCTGTTGTTGGAAAAAAGATGTAGAGCCGAGTATCATCAGTGTACTGATGGCACGAAGCCCCACATCCCCTGATGACCCCTCCCAGCAGCCTCATAGAGATGTTAAACAGCATTGGGGAAACGATCGACCCCTGCGGGACCCCACAATTGAGGCTGCACAGGGCCAAGAAACTCTCTCCAATCTGCACTCTCTGGGGATGGTCCTCCAAGACGGAACGGAGCCAGGCAAGAGCCAATCCACCGATACCCAACTCAGAAAGCCTCCCCAGGAGGATACTGTGGTCGACGGTATCGAAGGCGGCTGAGATGTTGAGGAGGACCAGCAGAGACATTTTGCCCCTGTTGGCCTCCCTCAACGAACGTACTCTGGCTTTGGAGGGGGGGATCTCGCAGCCACAGAAACTAAAGGCGGGGGGGCTCAGTGGGTGTGGGTGGATCCAGCCAAGAGAGAGAGAGAGAGACGGACACGAAGTTGCTGCCCCCCAACCTGGCCCATTCCGAATGCGCACTCAACTGACCAACTTCTCCAAGAAGGCGTGGAGGAAGGAAGGGGGGGGCTTTGTTCAAGCAGTTTATTATTTACATGTACAGTATATTGCATTGACATTGATACCCCATTAGCGAGAAAAAGTCATTTGCTCTCAGAAAACGATACAGGGAAGAACCAA